TCCCCATGTCCCTCTGTCCCTGCCTTCCCCCTACCTCCAATCCTCTTCCTTGCTGGGTCGTGACCTCCCAGCCCAACTGCATCTGCTTAGTCTCCCCTGGGAGTCTTCCATCCCTCTCCCCCTCCCTTTCTGATTCTGTTTCCGTTTCTCCATGTAGATGTCCTATTTTCTCCTTCACCATCACTCTGTGTCTCCAGACTCTTCTCCCCGCATCCCACCCTGTTCTGTGTCTGCTTGCCTAGGCTCCAAAGACAGGCATGAATGCGTCAGCCCTTGGGCTCCCGAAATCCAACCCAGCAGTGGACAGTTGCTTGTTAGCCACTCCCAGGGGGCTCAGGGCTGTCCCCACTGCCAAAGGGCAGGGGGGGAGCCAGATGGCAACCTCAGCGTGACCAGTCCAGCACTGGACACTGCACTGCGCCTCATTTACTCCTTGAGACTTTAGTACAACTTCAAGAGGTAGTCCTGTTCCCAGAGAAGTGACACCAGTGGCCCGCTATTACTCCCCCGGCAAGTGGCAGGGCTAGGATTTGAACCCAGGCTGTCTGGCCCCCAGAGGCGTGCTCCTACCAGCCCTACCCTCCTGCCTCTCCCAGCAGCAAAGGGGTTCAGAACCCTTGAGAGGCAGAAGAAGCCCAGATTTCTGCCCCTGACATGTCTTGTGACTGCAGGTCAGTGAATCACTCCCTTAGCCTCCGTGGACTCTAAACAGTGGCAAATGAATGGCTGCCTCACGGCCCGGGAGGCTGACCTCACTCCTCTGAACTGTTGAGCAAGGAGCCAGTGCTGGAGGCCTCGGGGGCAGGCCTTGAGCCTCCAGCAGGGGCAAACCTGGAAGGCTGCCTGGAGCAGGAGTCTGGCCTGACAGAAACCAACCACCAAGCCAAGGTGACCCCTTCCCTGACGCCCCCCTCGCCCTGTCTCACCCACAGGAATCCTCGTGGCCCACTACCTCCAGAGCATCACGCCGTGTCTGGCCCTGGGTGGAGAGCTTGTCTACCACCGACGGCCTGGGGAGGAAGGCACCGTCATGTCTCTAGCTGGGAAATACACATGTGAGCCCGGGGCCTGAGGGCAGGGTGCGGGGCTGGGCCCAGGGTTCCAGGTCTGAGGGAGGAGAGGGACCTGGCTTCCACACGCACCTAATGCCACCCTGCTGTCTTACAGTGAACAACTGGTTGGCGACGGTGACATTGGGCCAGGCGGGCATGCACGCGACATACTACCACAAAGCCAGTGAGCAGGTGCGCTGGGCCGGGGAGCAGCTGCAAGGGCACGCTCTGCAGGCATGGGCGGCGGGGGGCCGGTGTGGCCGGGGGCTCCGGCCGGGAAGCTGACCCGTGCATGTTGCCCTGGCCCCTTCAGCTGCAGGTAGGCGTGGAGTTCGAAGCTAGCACGAGGATGCAGGACACCAGCGTCTCCTTCGGGTACCAGCTGGACCTGCCCAAGGCCAACCTCCTCTTCAAAGGTACGGGCCTCAGTTTCCCTACTTGCAGACAAGTCGGCCAAAAGAGTTGGTGGGGGTGGCTTGTGCGCACTTCAGTGGGCCTCCAAGTTCCCTGGAGACGCTCGTTAAGAAGCCAGATGCCTGGCCCTGGGTCTGGAGGCACCCACCACGCCTGCTCCCCACCCCCTCTTGCTCCTCCTTTCTGATAAGTGGGAGGCAACTTGGAGCGCATCTGGGCCATCCTGCTCATCGGACAGGAGGGGCCAGGCTCTGCCTGGTGAGTGCCGTCACCGCCCAATCCAGAGCCTCTTTCTGGGCCAACTCAGGTCCTTATGTTAAGTCTGGAGTCTTTCTTCTCAGATCTCAGTGGTTCTCAGGTTGGCGTCCAGGCTTCAGGCAGGGCTTCTCCAGGCGGCGATGAGGCCTAGGACTTGTTTGCCTCTGAAGCCGACCTCCTGTGCCTGCCTCTTGACCCCTCTCTGCACTCAGCCTGGTGTCGGAGGCTGGGTGTGGGTTCCAGCTCTGCTGTTCCTCTGCTCCCATGAGATGAGTGATGATCGGCCCTTTCTTTGGTGTGGGGACGGTCCCCCCACACTCGCACACCAGGAGGGTTCTGGCGCACAACCCGAGGGAAGGTTTCGGTCTTCCTTCAGCAGCTACTGAGCACCTGCTCTGTGCCCAACCTTCGTGCCGGGGTGTTGGGAATAAAGTAGCTGCCGGGCTCTGTCCTCAAAAGGCTCACAGCTGGGGGTGTGCCACCCATTCCCAGAGAGTGAAGACCTGGTGTGGATGGGATTGGGATGGGGGGGGCCCATGGTGTGGGAGGGGGCTTCTGGCAGGGGAGGGGTCATTAAGCTGGGGCAGGGGAGGGGCGGAGAGGACAACTGAGCTGGTTGGCTCCCAGGGCCCAAAACCCCGAGGTTCAGGAAGAGGTTTCCAGGTAGTAGGAACAGTACTGTCGTCTAGAAGCCGGCAGTCTGGTTGCTGGTGTCTGAGGTAGCCTGGAGTGTGACTCCACAGGGACAGGGCGGGAAGCTGGGTCTCAACGTAGCTGTTTACCTGCAGGGTCCGTGGACAGCAACTGGATTGTGGGTGCCACTCTGGAGAAGAAGCTCCCGCCCCTGCCCCTGACATTGGCCCTCGGGGCTTTCCTGAATCACCGGAAGAATAAGTTCCAATGTGGCTTTGGCCTCACCATCGGCTGAGCCCCTCCTGGCCCCCGCCTTCCACCCTTCCTCCTCCAGATCCCACCTCCCCGTCCCCCTGCCGTGGAGGGGAGACCTGAGCCCTCCTCCCCCTCCCTTCCCTCCCTCCTTGGGGGCCAGGGGGGCAGTGGAAAGGAGGGGACCCATCACCCCAGCAGCTGAGGGGGGGATTCTGGAACCACAGGCGCTTCAGGATTCGGAGCACTAGGGGCAGGGTTGCCCAGTGGGCCTGGAGTCCCAGCAGGGATTCCAGAATCGAGGGGCATGCCAGATTCTGAGCACCAGGGGCAGAGGTGGCCAGACAACCTCAGGGAGGTGTTGGGGCATCCCCGTCTCCCCCCAAAGGGCCCTGGGCCTGGCCCTGAGGGGTCCACAAGAAGAGGAGCTTCCCCGTCCCTGGTCAGTCAGCCCGCGCCCTCCTTCCCACCCAGCCCTCAGTATAAATCATGTTTATAAGTTATGGAAGAACCGGGACATTTTACAGAAAAAAAAAAAAAACAACAAAAAATACACGTGGAAAAAAAAAAGGAACCAGGAGGCGTCTGATTTGCTATCTGTAGCCCCTCTTGCCAGCCCGTCCAGGCCGACCTCTCGGTGGCCAGGAGGGGGCGCTGCGGGGCTGAGCCCGGAAGGCTTCCTAACCGCCAGGGAGTCGGCCTGGCCAGAGATCACACATCCTCCCCGTGACTTGTGACTTCTGCTGGGACATCACAGGCCTTCCCTCACCGGCAGGGCCGGGTCTGTGGTCGCTCACCCCAGCCTGGCCCCGCCCCAGTGGCTGCTGCCTGAAGCAGTGGACTGATGGCTGGGGGTGGGGGGGGAGCTGATGTGCGGGGGACCTCTTCGTCCCCTCTTCATGACTGGAGGGTTGGAGCTTTCAGAATCTTCTGAAGGATTCCAGCACCTGGAAAGACTTCAGAATCCATTAGCTACTCAGGGGGCAAAGGGCTTCTGGGCCTGGTGCGGGGGGGGGGGGGGGGGTTGCTGGAGTCTGACTCCAGGCTGGCTCCAGATGCCTCCTTGGCCCGGGAGATGGGGAGGACATAGAGGTGTGGCTTGTGCCCACCTCGGGTTCCAGTAAACACACCCCTGACCTCTCCAGACCGGAACTGAAACCACACACATAATGGGCTTTGGAGAGGGAGGCCATTGAGCAGAGATGACCCCTCATCACCCAGGGAAGCCACCCCTGCTCATTTCCTGCCGGCGCCCTTTGAGACCAAAGCAAACAGGCCCAGGCCTGGCTGCTGTCCTGGGACCAGTCTTTGGGCCTCCATGGACCCCATGGCACCCAGTGTTACGCACCCTTGAGGCAGCAGGCATGAAGCTCGGCCCTACTTTCCCATGTGGCCTCACCCACCTCAACCTGGGCTTCTCTGGGGAACAGCCAGGACTCCAAGCGGGCTGCTAGCGAGGTGACGGTCCGACGTGGCCAATCAGAGCAGCTGGCCCCGTCTGCCCCAGGAACAGTTCTCAGGATTTCGTGCACTCAGCAGCTTGCATCACCGAACGGTGGTGTAAGTGGGACCATTTTCCTGGTTTTGTGGAGCAAGGAGTAGGGTGGTGAGAGAAGCTCGATCGCTTGCCCAAGGTCATGCAGCTGGCAGGAACCCGGTTTCGCCCCAGAGTCCGCAGTCCTAACCCGGCAGCCGGAGGGCTCCATAGCCCCGCGGAGGGCATCCTGCGGGGGCGCGACGGGACCTACAATGTTCCTCCTAGGGAGGAGGGCTGGGTCTGCATTTTGTAAATGTGAAGCGGGACTCAGAGAGGTGCTCACCTGTGCCCCAGGTCACAGACAAAGGGGAAGCTAGGATTAAAACCCAGGTTTACACAGTGCCCCCCCATCCTATCTGGGTCTGGGCCTCTGGTCCTGCTCTCCCTGAGTCCCAGGCATCTAGGCAGCACCCCCAGCCACCTCCCCTTGGAACCCAGGAATCCAAAACCCCAGGCTTCTCTTCACCTCTGCCCCAGGATTTCAGCCCCCAGCCCCCTCTTCCAAATTTGATTCATCCATCCAGAGAAAAGAAGGGGCGCGAAGGGGCGCCGGGGTCTGCCACAGCTCCTTCCCTGGCGTGCCTAGCCCCTCCGAGCGGAGGAGGGGGCCTGAGTTACTGAGATGTCACCTCCCTTCGTGGGGGCCGGGGTGGGGTGGAGGGGCATCACAGGGCCTCCAACCACCCCCCTCCTTCCCCCTGCCGGGTGTGGGAAGGGGTGGGGGAGAACAGCCCACCTCGTGACTGGGGGCCGGCCCAGCTCGCGGCCGGGGAGGAGTGGGCGGGGCAGGGGGAACATTATAATTGGACGAGTCTGGTATCCCTGAGTCCTACTCAGCCCGAGCGGAGGCGAAGGAGGAGGATCCCCGGGAGCCGGTGAGAAACCGAGTTGAGGGCACAGAGACCAGCTCAGGGCTCCCGGGAGCGACGGGCTGGGGCGAGGTGACTGTCAGACGCGAGGACCGGGGCAGAGGCAGCAGCCGGGGAAGAGGATGCACGCAGGGGTCGGACCTAGGAGGAGGAGTGGGCCGCAAGAGCATCCCGTCCTGGCTGGAAGGTGGGGCGGGGGGAGCAGCTGGACCTCTCGAAGAACCGGATGAGCCAGGCCACGAATTGTCTCTGCCGTTCCTTGAGCGCTTCCCGGGTGACCCCTCAGATCTCCAGGACTTGGAGGCCCCGGGGCGGCGCGAGGTGGCCAGAGCGCTCACCGGAGGACTTGTCAATGAGAATTAAGTTAGCTCATGGGTGGAACATGACGTTTAGATGTGAAGCTGGGGCTTAGAATGTGAAGGGAGAACGAGGAATGCGAGGTTGGAACTTAGAAGCCACAGTCGGGGCTCTCATGCCACTTGGGGAAGGGTGAGTGGAATTTGAACCCCTGGGAGAGGGGGATGGAATTTGGGCGGCGGAGGCCGACCTGGTGATGGGGAGATAGGAGGAGACAATGAGGGAGTTAAATCAACAACGGAGGGACCGCTCGGTAAATGTTTGTGATTGGATTCCGCCCGATGCCCGATGCAGACTTGGGGGCGCGGGCAAGACTCGGAGGGCCGAGAGCGGGTGGGGCGGGGCTCCGGGTGGGAGGGGTCCCCACTGGCTGCCCAGATTGACATTTCTCCCTCACTCGTACTGACCAATCGCAGGCTGGAAGATGAAGGTTCTGTGGGCTGCGCTGGTGGTCACGCTCCTGGCAGGTAGGTGGGCGGGGCTTGCTCAGGTTCCCTGCCCCTTCCTCGCATCCTCACCTGCACCCAGGGGTGGGCCCTTCTCTCATCCCTGGGTCCCTCCTTCAGCTGATCTGTCTTCCCCTTGAGGGGAGGCCCAGGTCTGCGGCCTCCCATCCACTGGCTCTGAGCAGTTGTTTTACTCTCTCTGGGCCTCAGTTTCCCCATCCTTAAACCGGGAGTTAACGACAGTTCCTAATGCATTGTTGTCAGGCAGGTAGCGAGCCTTAGATTCGTGTCTGCTGTGATTAGGTTTATTCCTCACGGCAACACGGCCCTGCACGGAGCAGACACGGATGCTCCACATGTGCCTGTCAGGTGAACGGGGCATCCCCCCACCGGCTCCCTGACATCCAGTGCTCTAAAACAAGCGCGGGAGCATATGTGGAGCACCTGCTGTATCCGAGGCACTGTGTGCCTGGAGCGGGCCGGGAGGCTGACCGCCGTGAACTTGCTCTGTGCAGGATGCTGGGCCGATGTGCAGCCGGAGCCGGAGCTGGAGCGCGAGCTGGAGCCGAAGGTCCAGCAGGAGCTGGAGCCAGAGGCCGGGTGGCAGACTGGCCAGCCCTGGGAGGCGGCGCTGGCCCGCTTCTGGGATTACCTGCGCTGGGTGCAGACGCTGTCTGACCAGGTGCAAGAGGGCGTGCTCAACACCCAGGTCACCCAGGAACTGACGTGAGTGCCCCCTGACACTCCTGCTGGGCAGTTCCTCCTGGAGCGTCTGCCAGTCTGGGCATCTCTGCCCATGTCTCGATCCCTCTTTCCATCTCAAGCTCCTGGCTTTATGGACCCCTCTGACTCTCTCAGCTCCTCCTGCCCCTGGCCACCCCTCCATCAGGCTAGATCAATCCCTCGCACCCTTCCCTTTCATCCCCGTGTCTGGCCGTCCCTGCCCCCACCATGCCCTCCCGCACCACGGGTTTTCTCCCTGTTTCTCCCCGCTCCCACCCCCGAGCTCTGCACACACATGCTCCCGCCCTCTCGGACCCCAGGACGCTGATGGATGAGACCATGAAGGAGGTGAAGGCCTACAAGGCGGAGCTGGACGAGCAGCTGGGCCCCATGACCTCGGAGACGCAGGCCCGCGTGGCCAAGGAGCTGCAGGCGGCGCAGGCCCGGCTGCGCTCGGACCTGGAGGACGTGTGCAACCGCCTGACGCAGTACCGTGGCGAGCTGCAGGCCATGCTGGGCCAGAGCAGCGAGGAGCTGCGGGCGCGCTTCGCCTCCCACATGCGCAAGCTGCGCAAGCGGGTGCTGCGGGACGCCGAGGACCTGCAGAGGCGCCTGGCCGTCTACAAGGCCGGCGTGCGCGAGGGTGCCGAGCGCAGCGTGAGCAGCATCCGCGAGCGCCTCTGGCCGCTGCTGGAGCAGGCCCGCGAGCGCAACGCCAAGGTGGGCGCCCTGGCCACCCAGCCGCTGCTCGAGCGGGCCGACGCCCTGGGCCAGCAGCTGCGCGGGCAGCTGGAGGAGGTGAGCAGCCGGGCCCGCGGCCACCTGGAGGAGATGCGCGAGCAGATACAGGAGGTGCGGGTGAAGATGGAGGAGCAGGCCGACCAGATACGCCAAAAGGCCGAGGCCTTCCAGGCGCGCCTCAAGAGCTGGTTCGAGCCCCTGCTGGAAGACATGCAGCGCCAGTGGGACGGGCTGGTGGAGAAGGTGCAGGCGGCCGTGGCCACCATCCCCACCCCTAAACCTGTGGAGGAACCATGAGCCCCCCGCATGCCACCTGCTGCCCCCCCCAACTCCTTCCCTTGCCCCCTGCCTGCTCCCACCGGCCTCCAGGAGGCCTGCCCCTGCCCCCAGCTGTCCTCCTGAAAGGGCCCTAGCTTAATAAAGATTCACCAAGCTCCACAGCAGCTGCTGGACTTCTGTGTGTGATTACTCCCGGCTCTGCCTCAGTTTCTCTTTTCTTCCCCACACTGGCCACACCACTCTGTCCTGTCCCCTCTGCTTGTGTGTCTGGTTTTTGGTCCCTTCTGATCCCTCCCTCTGTTCCTTTCAGAGTCTCCCTTCTTGCTCTGTCTCTGCTCAGCAGTACTCAATCTCTCTCTTCCCTACCTCCCTGTCCCTTCTGGCTCTGAGACAAGGTTCTGGAACAGATCCACCCCTGGGGTGAATCCTGCAGTTGCCCCTGACTATGGCTGGGGAGGTGGTGGGCGGAGGGATGGGGGAAGCAACCTCTCAGCCTGAGCTTGCTCAGCTTCAGGATACTGGCTTCATGGAGTTGTGACCCCAAAGACCTGACACCACTGCAATTATGATTAAGTCCCCCCTTTTAATTTTTATTTTTTTTAAATATTTTATTTATTTATTCATGAGAGACACACAGAGAGAGGCAGAGACATAGGCAGAGGGAGAAGAAGGCTCCCTGTGGGGAGCCTGATACAGAACTCATCCCAGGACCCCGGGATCATGCCCCAAGATGAAAGCAAGATGCTACCGCTGAGCCACCCAGGCGTCCCTAAAAAAGATTTTATTTATTTGAAAGAGCGCACAGCAGAGGGAGAAACAGGCTCCCCACTGAGCAGAGAGCCAGATGCAGGGCTCGATCCCAGGGCCCTGGGATTATGACCAGAGCTGCCCAAGGCATGGGTGCTTAGTGGACTGAACCACCCAGGCCTCCCAGGTTAAGCCCTTCTTGGCATTCCCCGGCCTTATCTGATTCTGCCTCCTGGCCTCCCGCCTGCTCTGGGTGAGAGAGGCTTCATTTTTCTTGCTTCCTGTTTTCCTCCACCTCTATCTTTTATCTCTTTCTCCTCCTGTTTCCCCCACACACACACCTTCTGGTCCTGCTTGTTTCTTGTTTCTCTTCTCCTGCCCTCTGGGTTGGTCCTCTCCACCATTCTGTTGCACTTGGGCCCTCTCTGCCTCTCCAGTTCCCTCTGGATCCGCAGATCTCTTCATCTGATCTTCCCTGCCCCCTGCCCTCATCCTCTCCTCTACCCTCCAGTTGGGTTGCTGACCTCTGGTCTCTCTCAAGAAGCCTACTGGGTGCTGGGTCCTGGCTGGAGAGGAGGAAGCTGCCCTTCCCCCACAACACCCCCAGGAGGGGCTGCCCCGCCCCCATGAAGAACTGGGGTCCAGGTCTGGGAGACAGCTGGGAGCTGACCTTCAGAGTGGTGCAGACTGAAGCAGGGAGCCTGGGGCCACCCGCTGGCATTCACTCCCACCCCCTCAATTCCCAGAGGAGGGGAGCAGGGTTCCCGGGCCCAGAGGACAGGCCAGGGCTTGAGCTTGTAACTCCTAGGCCCAGCTGCACTCTTCCACGTGGCTCCTGCACACTCTGAACTCTGAGCTTTCACCAGCTGCCCTGAGTGCCCTTCTGGGGGCAGGCTGTCCTCCCCACCCCCCCAGATGACTCACCCTAGGCTTGGTGAGCAAAGGGCCAGTGGGCTTAGAGGCAGGGGGACTAGTCCCAGCCAAGTGTGCTGCTGATTCACTGTATGCCCTGGAGCTGGGGCCAAGCCCTCTGAGCCACAACTGTCAATGCACAGGCTGGGATCAACCGTGTCTCCCCCTTGAAGAGCTGAATCTTGGGTTCCCATGGATGAAGACAGCAGTCAGGTCTAGAGATGGCACCAGGGCTGAAGAAGGAATTTTGGGGAACAGAGCCTGGCAGGGGGTGCTGTGGGGCAGAAGCTGATCCCCCTCAGAGATTCAGAGGGGCAGCCTGAAGTCCAGAAAGGGGACAGAGAGCCACCCCTCCATTCACCCCAATGGTGCTGAGCCATTGAATGTTCTTAGCTGTGCCTCGGTTTCCCCATCTGTAAATGGAAACCCCTGTAGCTAGCATAAGGAGGAGAAGACTGGAAAAGCCAAGTCATTCTTCTATTCCAGTGGGGTGGGGAAGGAAGGAGAAGAGACCTCTGGGTGGATGTCTGGGGAATGCTAGGCTCGCAGGGGAAGCAGATGTCTGGGAAGGCAGCTGGAGGGCTGACAGGGTCTGGATGCACTGAGCCAGCCAAGGGGTTGTTGCAATCCTGCCAGGGTCATGTCTGTGCGTCCCTTTCATAACCGTCCCCTCCCACCACCACCCCCAGGCTGACACGTGGTTGTGGGGGCACAAGGCCAGCCAACCTCAAGTCTGAGGCCAGGGCCGCCCTCCCCACAGCTGCCAGGGATCACTGGCGGTCAAAGGCAGCCAGAGGAAGAGGGGAAGCATTGGACTCCAGCCCTGAGGGACGGATGTGGTGGGAGGAGAGACAGGGGAGGGGGGGAGAGCTTGGTGCCAGGAGGGGCCCGAAGGGGCAAGGGCAGATGCACTGTTTACCAGGGGGCCCGGAAGCTCGCAGAGTGGGAGAACAGAGGGCTAGGAGGGGCCTGGTGGAATGGATGGAGGCGCGCACACCCTGGGATCCTTGCAGCTGGGGTTTTGCAGTTGAGACAGGTTGCAAAGACTCCTGCCCCAAAGATCGATGTGCATGGGGCAGGGGAGGGGGCTGTGGAATGAAGACCTCAGAGCACAATCGTGGAGGTCTGGGATGCTCCCCGATGCAGGGAGGTGGGGGGCTTGAGGGCTGGTCTGCAAGTGAGACTGGAAGTGGCCAGGGTCTAGGAATGTGGGGGTAGACTGGGTGACCCTGGAGTCAGGAGTTGGGAGTTGCTTGCGCTGAAGAGGCTTGCTAAGAAGAGAAAGGGGATGGAAGAGGAGGCCTGGAGAGTTCCAGCGAATTACAGAGATGCTTGGTGACAGAGAGACCCTTGAGTTCAGCAGGAGAAACACGCCCCCACCCCTCACGTGTAGGGAAGGGACTATGGCAGGCTGAGATCCACCAACAGGGAGATTTAGAGGTGCAGGTGCTGAACAGCAAGTAGTTTAAGGGACAAGGGATGTGCCCAGGCCCACCTGACCCCCGCACCCCCACCAGCCAGGCGGGGAAGAGGAAATGGTGGGTGGGCACGGGAGTGGGGGGAGGCCAGTGGCCCGGAGGCTTAAGGGGAGGGATTAACCTGCCCCGCCTCCACCCCAGCCCGATAAAGGCCTGGGCCAGGCCAGGACCTCCCACCTGCGCTTTCCGAGACCGCTCCAGGTTGGTGCTCGATGCCTGATGCCCCGGGAGGGCTGCCCCTCCAAGAACACTAGAAAAGGGGTGGAGGGAACTCTGGGGAGGGAGGAGGGGTGTCACTGATCGCTCCCACCCCTGCTTCTGCTTCCAGAGAGTCCCTCCGGCCCGGCCATGAGGCTCATTCTGTCGCTCCCGGTTTTGGTGGTGGTTCTGTCGATGGTTTTAGAAGGTAAAAGTGGGATAGAAGAATCTGGGGGTTTGAGATTTGGAAGCTTGAAGCTGCCTACGTGCCTGGGGTCCAAGCTTGGAGGACGCTTGAGAGCTCTGGGGCCCCTTCTGTGCCCTGGTTTTCCTATCTCTCACCAATCACCCCACCCCCAACCGGGCAAGGTGGGTGAGGGTGCTCTAAGGGGCGGGCCGGCAGGTGGCAAGTCTACCTCAGGAAGCCCTAGCAACAGATGATGTATTGACTTGCCCCTCCAGGATTGGCTGTCCTGCTTTTACAACCTGGAAAGGGGAGGGGGAGGAGGGAGGCCTGACAGTAAGCTAATTCCCGGCAGCTTGAGCTCCATCTGGTCGCCTTAGCCCATCTTCCCCCCTCCCCTTCCCAGCCTAACGCCATGACCTCCAAGAATCATTCAAAGATCTCCTTTCCCGTCCCCAGAATCTCAGCCTGAGGCTTCCCAATACTGACATTTTTGTACCCCTGCCCGTCTCTGGGCAGGTCCAGCCCCCGCCCAGGCGGCTGGAGAAATCTCCAGCGCTTTCGAGCGCATCCCGGATAAGCTGAAGGAGTTTGGTAACACCCTGGAAGACAAGGCCCGGGCAGCCATTGAGAGCATCAAGAAGAGCGACATTCCTGCAAAGACCCGGTTAGGAACCTTCTCAGGGTTTGGGACGGCTGGGGTATATCATTAACAGATTGGGGAAACTGAGACCTGGAGAGGCTGACAGCTTCCCTGTGGTCATGGCTGGATCACAGGGTGCCCAGATGTGGGGGACAGGTTCCTGACTCCTACCTAGGCCACAGTGTAGAAGTGGTCCTGTGTGGTGGTAAAAGGCCGAGCTTGGGTGTCGAGTCACCCCAGGTCCAGAGGCTAGCAAAGATTCAGTTCTCTTTGTGTGATTCCAGAATAGATCTGGATGAGCCTTCTTCCTCCTCTGTTACATGGATGGTTCTGAGGAGAAGTAAACTAGGGGATTTGCATAGTGCCTGACCATTGTAAATGCTCAGTATGCTTTTTAACCAACAGTGACTCCATTTGGCCACTTAGAGTAGAGGACCATTCATTCATGAACAAGTATTTATTGGGCATCTGCTAAGTGTCCAGGATTGTTCCAGTGTGGGGAATAATAGTGATGAATGAGATAAAGTCCCAGCCCACAGGGAACAGATTGTAAACCAGTGAATTTCCAGGAGGTCAGCCCAGACGGGGCTAAATACTGAGAAGACAATAAACAGGGTGGATGTAGACAACCAGCGTGGGGCTTGAACTCATGACCCTGAGATCAAGAGTTGTATATAATACCTCCTGAGCCAGCCCGACACCCCTTTTCATATCTCAATTTAAAGTGTTATTGCTTCAGGGCGCCTGGGTGGCTCAGTAGGTTAAGCTTCAGACTCTTGATCTCAGTTCCAGTCTTGATCTCGGGGTGGTGAGTTCAAACCTACATGAAGCCTGGCTGTCTTACTTTAAAAGAGAGAGAGAGAGAATGAGAGAGAGAGAGAGAGATCTGAGTGATTAGGAAAATCCAGCCAGGCCTAGAAACATGGGAAGAATGTTCCTGTGGAGGGTGAGTGCAAAGGCCCTGAGCCAGGAAGATATGAACATAATCCAGGCCAGGGACACAGCCTGGGCAAAAAACAAGAAGGCTGAAGAGTGCCCCTGAATAACTAGGGGACAGCGTGCCAAGAGCAGGCTTGGTAGCAAGAGATAGCAAGCCTTGAAAGTTGTGCCCAGGGTGGAGTGTTCTGACTTCAAAGGGCTCTGGCCCATCTGGGAAATCCAGCCCAGGGCTCCTCCCAATTCCACATATGTGGGAATCATGCTCTTTCCTTGGGGGAAGGGAAAAGGGAAGATGGGGGAGGCAGGTAGGAGGCAGGATTTGGGCCCTCTGACCTGCCCTGAAACACCAAACTCAGTGACTCCTCCCCCATCTCTCCCTGCAGAAACTGGTTTTCTGAGGCTTTCAACAAAGTGAAGGAGCATCTCAAAACTGCCTTCTCCTGAACACCAGGAGAGCCGCCCCTCTAATCTGGCCTGTGTGCCCCAGGAGGGGGCTCTGAAATTTCCCATCCCGTGGCTCCTTGCCAAGGACTTCATGATGTTCATGTCTACCCCCAATCTCCAATAAAAATCCTATAGAGAAATCTGAGTGGTCTTTTGCTTTGGGGGTGGGGGAGCTGCATCTTTTGAGGAGGCAAGGATTCAAATGTATTGAAGATTGTCTACTTGACCTGTGCCAAGGACTTTGAACTTCATGGTCTCAAAAAAATCCTCACAAGAACCTCGGGAGCAGGGGCCCTGTTAATTCCACAAGGGCATGGGGGCCCACAGAAGTGAAGTAACTTGTCAGGAGGGGGAGAGCTGTTTCTCTGCTATATTCTTCCCCGACTGGGCTGCCCAAGATAAGGGACCGGGTTGGTTCATCACCATGAACAGTAGGTCTTTATTATACTTAAAATGGATGATGCCCCTCCTCCAGGAAGCCCTCCTTAGACCTCAGGCTGGGTCATCACTGCCTCGTAATGGGTCTGTCTTTCCTACTGGATTGTGAGCCTAGGAGGACTGGGCCAGGACGTCCGTCATCACCACTGTCTCCAGGCATAGTCCCACACAGGACTGGGCATGGTGTAGGCGCTCAGTAATACTTGGTGGAATAATTATTCACAATCCGAAACAAACAAACAAACAAACAAAAACCCTAAACATTACCTTTTCACAAAACTCCCCGTAGGTGGGTGCTGTCTCTGCCCCTATTTTACAGAGGAAGAAACTGAGACATAGAAGTCTAAAGTCACTTAGGTGATGTTATGCAGCCAAAAATGGGTAGGGCTGGGATTTGAATGGAGGCTGGGCGGGTGGGGGTGGGGGTGGTTCAAGGGCCACCTCCTCACTCTGCTTTCCTGGTTCCTGGGACACCCTGCCAGACAAGCCTGCTGCAACCACACACACACACACACAGAGCCTGGCCCAGGGCCTCGCCTGCATCATCCCCAGCATATTAAAATGCTCATCAGATAAAATTCAAACAAGCAGTCATCTTGCAGGTGGCTAGTTGGCAAAAAGGTATAGTCTGTACAGATTTAATCAATTAGTCATCTTGGCCATATTTCCAGCATTTGGGGGCCAATTTATTTTTCAAGCACTCTTCCCAACCCCTCTGGACAGCTCTCAGGTTGGAGAGGCGCAGAGGCAGAGAAGATGGACAGTTCATGGAGCATGCCCTTCGCTTTGGAAGAGAGGCTTAAACTCAGGGGCAGTAAGATGAAAACAACCAGGGAACCTGGGTGGCCCAGCGGTTGAGCATCTGCTTTCGGCTCAGGTCGTGATCCTAGGGTCCTGGGATCGAGTCTTGCATTGGGTTCCCCGCAGGGAGCCTGCTTCTTCCTCTGCCTATGTCTCTGCCTCTCTCTCTCTCTCTCTGTGTGTGTGTGTGTCTTATGAATAAATAAATAAAAATTTTAAAAATAAGACGAAAACAACCAAAAGACACCAGCCTGCTTCCCATCACCTGGCAGCAAGAAGATTGACTGGAAAATACCAGGGGCTGGTGAGGACTTGGGTACCTGAGAAGCAGCACACCCTCCCCAGGAGAGTGGACTGACTGGATCTCTACAATGAAGAGCAACCTGGCAGTTTGCCCCGTGTCCACCCCAGCAATCCCGAATCCCGGTGCGGGAGCCAGAAAAGCATATGGGAACACGGACAAGGCTGCTCATTGCGGTGTTATTTGTGGGGATGGAAGCTGCAAGCAACCTAGCAATCGATCGCTAGGGGAATAAAAAAAAGAAAATGTGCAACTCCATGCAACTGCAGAAAAATGAGCTAGATGTTCATGCAACAACTTGGAGAGATCTAATGTAGCCTTGAGTGAAAAAGAAACAGGAGAGGGGCACCTGGGTGGCTCAGTTGGTCAAGTGTCTGCCTTTGGCTCGGGGCATGATCCTGGGGTCCTGGGATAAGTGCCACATCACACTGGGCTTCCTGCTCAGCAAGGAGTCTGCTTCTTCCTCTCCCTCTGTCAAATAAATAAATAAATAATATTTTTTAAAAAAGATTTTTATTTATTCATGACACACACACACACACACACAGAGGCAGAGGGAGCCACCCAGGGATCCCCTAATTAAATAATATTTAAAAGAAAGAAACAGGGACACCAGGCTGGCTCAGTAGTTGAGCCCCTGCCTTCTGCTCAGGATGTGATCCTGGGGTCCTGGGATCGAGTCCCACGTCGGGTTCCCTGTATGGAGCCTGCTTCTCCCTCTGCTTATGTCTCTGCCTCTCTCTCTCTCTCTCTGTGTCTCCCATGAATAAATAAATAAAGTCTTAAAAAAATAAACAAAAAAGAAAGAAAGAAACAGGAAAAGACGCACAGGGTGGTGCCATTGTTGTAAAATTAGAACACAGGCACATAGGGGCGCCTGGGAGGCTCAGTCTGCCTTTGGCTCAGGTCATGATACCCGGGTCCTGGGATCGAGCCCAGTGTGGGGTTCCCTGCTCAGCAGAAAGTCTGCTTCTTCCTCTCCCTCTGCCCCTCCTCCCCTGCTCATGCTCTCTCTCCCTCTCTCTCAAATAAATAAATAAATAAAATCTTAGAAAAGAAAAAAAGAACATACACACATGGAACCTTGCACCTTGTGGGTTTGAGTTCTTTCCTGTCTGAGGACAACTCCAAGCACATCTGAGGAACGAGGGTAGAGAACAAAGGTGGGAAATAGATAAATATAAGTGTGTGTACTCAGTGCCCCCCGCCCCAGCCAATCTGCCCTCCAAGCTGCTACGCTCCCTTCCCACTTGGCAGCCAGAGGGATCCTGTTAGAACACAAGTCACGTCACACCCTTCCTCTGCTCACAACTCTCCCTCTACCCTCAGAGGAAAACCCAAAGATTGTATCAGAGTCCACCAACTCAAGTCTCCAGCTCCACACTACCTGGCCTGGTCACCCCTGTGCTTCCTGCCCTGTGCCTCTCCCCCTCCCTCACCTGCAACTCCTCAGGCTCCTCTGACACACTGGGCAGGCTTCTACCCCAGGGCCTTTGCATTTGGAATGTCCTTCCTGCAGATGTCCAGATATCTGCCCTGCTCGTCCCTCACCTCCTTTGGGTCTCTGTTTAACACTCACCTCCCCGTTGTGCTCCCCTCATACTGCTCTCCCATCACTCTCCCATCTCCTCAACTACCTTTCTTTTCTTTTTTTTTAATAAGTTTTTTTTTAATTTATTTATTCAGAGAGAGAGAGAGAGAGACTGAGAGGCAGAAATACAGGCAGAGGGAGAAGCGGGCTCCATGCAGGGAGCCTGACGCAGGACTCGATCCTGGGTCTCCAGGATCAGACCCCGGGCTGCAGGCGGCGCTAAACCGCTGTGCTACCGGGGGTGCCCCTCATCTACCTTTCTTCCCAGTATTTGCTACCCTCTAATATATGTCTATTTGCTTACTTGTTCACTGTCTCCTGCTGCTGGGACCTCAAGTTCATGGATGCTGTCTTGTCTCCTGCAGTGGCCCCAAGTGCCCAGAACAGTGCCTAGCACACAGTGAGCGCTCAGGCAATACTTACTGAATCAGTGAATGAACATTTGTATTCCACGGACCAGCTTACATATACATGCGTGGTTCCCATTCATTATCCACTCATGAACTCACTCATTCTAAGATTTTCTTTTTACACTGTATTTATTTATTCAGAGAGAGAGAGAGAGAGGCAGAGACATAGGCAGAGGGAGAAGCAGGCTCCCTATGGGGAGCCCAAAGCAGGATTTGATCCCAGGACCCCAGGATCAGGACCTGAGCCAAAGGCAGATGCTCAACCACTGAGCCCCTGAGGCTCTTTTTACACTTTATATTTAGAGCCAATACGTTTGTTCTTCTCAGGTTTACAAACATACCTTCAAGTCCTCAGAGAGCAGGGATCCCTGGGTGGCTCAGTAGTTCAGCGCCTGCCTTTGGCCCAGGGTGTGATCCTGGAGTCCTGGGATTGAGTTCTGTGTCGGGCTCCCGGCATGGAGCCTGCTTCTCCCTCTGCCTGTGTCTCTGCCTTTCTCTCTCTCTCTGTCTATCATGAATAAATAAATAAAATATTTTTTAAAAAAGAGAGACCTCAGAGAGCAAAGTGCCCTGATCGCACCAGGAACAAAAACATTTGGAGAACTCCAGACATCCAAGTAGAAATGTTCACACTCAGGGAGTGGAGGTGGCATATTCAGACAGCCCCACCCATGGCACAGACTCCACACAGCGGGCAGGGCAGGGATGGGGGACTCCAGTGGGCACCAGACTCAGCGTAGCTGGTCAGGGAGGGCTCCCTGCAGGAGGGGACATGGCACCTGAAACCCAAAAGACAATTCAGAAGTCATCAAAGAGAAGTAGGGGAGTGCATGACAAGCAACACAAATTTGTCCCCATGAAATGGTCATCAACAACCACCCAAATGAAAAACTGAATATAAAAACGAATGAGGAGGGGATCCCTGGGTGGCTCAGTGGTTTGGCACCTGCCTTTGGCCCAGAGCGAGGTCCTGGGGTCCCAGGATCGAGTCCTGCGTCGGGTTCCTGGCATGGAGCCTGCTTCTCCCTCTGCCTGTGTCTCTACCTCTCTCTCTATCACAAATAAATAAATAAATATTTTATAAATAAATAAATAATGAATGAATGAATGAATGAGGGATGCCTGGGTGGGTGGCTCAGTGGCTGAGAGTCTGCCTTCAGCTCAGGGTGTGATCCTGGGGTCCCAGGATCGAGTCCCACATCCAGCTCCTTGTGTGGAGCCTGCATCTCCCTCTGCCTCTGTCTCTCTCATGAATAAAAAAATAAAATCTTTTTTAAAAAAGCAACAAATGAACGGAGCCCCTTTGGAAAACAGTTTAGTAGCTCCTCAAATTGTTCAACAGAGCTACCATGTGATCCAGCAACTCCATTACTAGGCATCTTACCCAAAGAACTGCACACAGGTTCACACCAAAACGTGTGCACGCATGCTTGTGGCAGTATTGTTCCTGACAACCAAAAAGTGGAAACAACTCAAATGCCCAACAGCTGATGAACAGATAAAGCCACATAGTGTGTGTATATGGATGCCCACCCAGTGAATATTACTCTGCCATAAAAAGGAAGCACTGACACACGCCACAACACGGATGAACCCAAAAACTCGATGCTCAGTGAAAGAAGCCAACCACAGAAGGCCGTGCAGTGTACGATTCCAATCACATGACGTCCAGAATAGAGAAATCCATAGAACAGAAAGTTGATCAGTGGTGGCCCTACTGGGCCGGGGGAAGAAGGTAATGGGAGTGACCCCAATGGGCTAATGGGTATGGGGGTTCCTTTTCAGGGTGGTGAAAATGTTCTGGAATTAGATGGTGGTGATGGTTACACAACTTTGCAAATACGCTAAAAAACCATTGAATTAGGGATGCCTGGGTGGCTCAGCGTTTTGAGCATCTGCCTGTGGCCCACGTCATCCCAGAGTCCTGGGTTTGAGTCCCACATCAGGGTCCCTGCAGGGAGCCTGTTTCTCCTTCTGCCTGTGTCTCTGCCCCCCACTCTCTCTCTCTCTCTCTCTCATTCTGTCTCTCATGAATAAACAAAATCTTAAAAGAAAATAAAGCATACAAAGCATACAATTGGGTTTTTTTTTTTTAAAGATTTTATTTATTCACGAGAGACACACACAGAGAGAAGCAGGCTCCCTGCAGGGACCCCAATGCGGGACTTGATTCCAGGATTCCGGGATCATAACCTGAGCCAAAGGCAGATGCTTAACCAACAGAGCCACCCAGGTGCCCCAAATTGTATGCTTTAAAAAGATGAATTCTGGGCACCTGGGTGGCTCTGTTGGTTAAGCATCTGCCTTTGGCTCAGGTTATGATCCCGGGGTCCTAGGATCGAGCCCCACAGTGAGGAATCTGCTTTTCCCTCCACCTCCACCTGCTACCCCCAGCTTGTACTCTCTTTCCCTCTCCCTGTCAGATAAATAAATAAAATCTTAAAGAAAAAAAGGATAAATTTTATGGTATGTGAATATCTCTGTTGTTTTAAGTAGGCTCCACGCTGGAGGGCAGCTCAAATTCAATAGTCTGAGATCAAGAGTCAGACGGGCTTAACCAACTGATCCACCCAGGCGCCCCAATATCTCTGTTTTTAACAACAAAGGAAAGCAGAACTCTCAGACAGAAGGCAGAAAGTAGAGATCAAGGGGGGGACATTTCCACCTCTCTTTGGCCCCAGATTTCCCTGACATAAGCCAGGGCTGCAGAGGAAGGAGATGAGCACCAGGAGTGCTGGCGGGGAGGTGGGTTCTGGGATTCAGGAGTGAGGGGAAGGGGTCTGGGCAGGGGGAGAGGGATTTGGGTGCCTGGTGGTCTCTCTGACACAAAGCTGCAGGCTCAGAGATGCTCTCTGCCTCCAGACACATGCTCTCCGTTCTCAGGGCCCACTGCTCCCACTGTTCCCACTGCTCCCACTCCCCCCTCCCTCTTGTGACCTCTTTCTCTCCCTCTCATCACCTTGCTCCCAGTTGTTATTGAGCTGATTCTGAGGTCCACCCTGAATGACCTTTAGCCTGTTCCTGTCCCCGAGATGGGCAAACATTGCAAGCAGCAAACAGTAAACAGCCTACACTGACCTTGGAGCCAGAGCAGGGGTCAGAGACCTCTCCCAGGCCCACCCCACTGCGGGTCTGATTTAACCTCCCTCTTGATCTCTAGGACTCAGGTGGGGAGGAGCCGCCGGGGTTGTCCTGGCTTAGTGAGATGTGAGAGAGCCGAGTTCAAATTCACCACCTGCTGGTTGAGGAGCCGTTAGCTAAGTGGCCTCACTTCTACCCCCAAGCCTCAGTTTTCTCATCTGTAAATGGGAATGATAAAGATGCCCCACTTCATAGCGCCAGAAAACACAAGCTTAATAAATAGCCTCTGACCTTGACCGAGCACCTCTGCGCTGTATCTGGCACTGGCAATTTACATAAATAGTCTCCTCTACTCTCCAGGGTAGGTAGTCCCTGACTCCCAGTCATGGATGAAGAAATAGGCCCAGAGAGGTTAAGCAATTTGCACCAGGTCACACAGTAGGGCAGATGTACAGTCAGGTTCTGAACCCCATCTCATGCCTGCCCACCATATATGGCAGGATTTTCTTTTCTTTCTTTTTTATTTAAAAAATATTTTATTTATTTATTCATGAGAGACACAGAGAGCAGAGACATAGGCAGAGGGAGAAGCAGGCTCCCTGTGGGGAACCCAATGCAGGACTCGATCCAGAGACCCTGTGATTACAACCTGAGCCAAAGGCAAGACACTCAACCACTGAGCCACCCAGGTGTCTCTTTTTTCTTTTCTCTTTTGGTCAAACACATAACATAAAATCTACCACATTAGCCATTTTAGGGGTGCACTTCAGTGACATTAGGTATATTCACAAATTGTGCAACCATCACCACCATCCATTTCCGGAACTTCTCGCCATCCAAAAGAGAAGCTCCAGGAGGTTTTATTTTACCAATTATTGCTAGCCTGGCCCTGCAGGGCACATTTGTTGTGCACCTACTGTGTGTGGGAGCCCACACTGGGGCCCCTGGAGTGGGCAGCATTCTGCTGGAAGCCTCTGGGTTAGCACCAAACCAGTAGCCGCCCCTTATCAATGGGAGATGCGTTCCAAGACCCTCAGCGGATGGCTGAAACCACAGATTTGGATCTACTGTGTTTTCCTCTCCCTATATACTGATGATAAAGTTTAACTTATAAATTCGACACAGTAAGAAATTAACAACAATGACTAGGGGAGGGGTTGGGGGGAATGGGGTAACTAGGCACTAAGGAGGGCACTTGATGTGTTGAGTATTGGGTGTTATATTGTATGTTGGCAAACTGAATTTAAATTAAAAAATAAAAGAGGGGGATGCCTGGGTGGCTCAGCAGTTGGGTGGCTGCCTTTGGCTCAGGTCGTGATCCCAGGATCCGGATCGAGTCCTGCATTGGGTTCTTGCAAGGGGCCTGCTTCTCCCTCTGCCTGTATCTCTGCCTCTCTTTCTGTCTCTCTGTGTCTCTCCTGAATAAATAAATAAATCTTAAAAAAAGAAAAAGAAAGAAAGAAAGATGAAAGAAGAAAGAAAGAAAGAAGAAGAAAGAAAGAAAGAAAGAAAGAAAGAAAGAAAGAAAGAAAGAAAGAAAGAAAAGGGGGCATCTGGGTGGCTCAGTGGTTGAGCATCTGCCTTTGGCTCAGGTCGTGATCCCAAGGTACTTGGATGAGTCCCCCATTGGGCTCCCCATAGGGAGCCTGTTTCTCCCTCTGCCTATGTCTTTGCCTCTCTCCCGTGTCTCTCATAAATAAATAAAATCTTTTAAAAAAGAAAAGAAAAAATATAATACTAATAAAAACAACGAATGATACTAAACTAGTACAATTATAATAATATCCTATAATAAAAGTTATGTGAGTGTGGTCTCTCTCTCTCTCCCTAAATATCTTTTTTTTTTTTTTTAAGATTTTATTTGTTTGAGAGAGAGAGCAAGAGCACAAGCAAGGGCAGAAGCAGAAGCTGAAGGAGAGGGAGAAGCAGATTCCTCACCAAGCAGGGAACCTTGGTGGGGCTTGATCCCAGGACCCTGGGATTAGGACCTGAGCCGAAGGCAGAGCCAAAGGCTTAACTGACTGAGCCACTGAGGCGCCCCTCTGCCCCTAAATATCTTGTTGAACTGTACTCACCCTTTTTTGTGTGATGATGTGAGATGATAAAATGCTTCTGTGAGGGGAATGACATAGGCACTGTGACATAGTATTTAGTGATGACCAGCCTGCTGGCATATTGTCAGATTATCTGCTTCCAAGCCTTGGTTGACCTTGGGTAACTGAAACTGTGGATAAACAGGGGATACTAGGGGCGCCAGGGTGGCTCACTTGGTTAAGCGTCTGCCTTTGGCTCAGATCGTGATCTCAGGGCCCTGGGGTCTAGCCTCACGTTAGGGCTCCCTGCTCAGCAGGGAGTCTGTTTCTCCCTCTCCCTCTGTCCCTTCCCCGGCTCATGCCTGCAACCCCCCTCAAATAAATAAATAAATTTAAAAGGTGGGGGAACTACTGTATAAGTTGCTCAGGCTATGGCCAGCAAAGTGGGGTTGTCAGATTCACCACATAAAAATACAGGATCCTGATCGGGTTTGAATTTCAGATGAATAACAAATAATTTTTAGGATACTTCCCAAATAGTGCATGGTACATAGTTATACTAAAAGAAAAACTTGGGCAGCCTGGATGGCTCAGCGGTTTAGCACCACCTTTGGCCCAGAGCCTAGTCCTGGAGACTGGGGATCGAGTCCCACGTCGGGCTCTGTGCACAGAGCCTGCTTCTCCCTGAGTCTGTGCCTCTCTCTCATTTTGTGTCTCTCATGAACAAATAAAGAAAATCTTTTAAAAAAAACTTATTATTTGTCTGAATTCAAATGGGAATCCTGTATTTTATCTGGCAACCCTAGACTAAGGAATCCAGTCCATGGTCCACTGTCCAAGATGTGTGCTCTGGCTCTAGGCTGGGTCCTCCAGGAGAAAAAGGCTCATTTTCTTTCTGTCTAGTGTTGGGCCTGAGCCTGATAGTGACAACTTCCTACTAGGTGCACCTGGAATTTTCTCTCATGGAGCCTCACCCAGCTTTCACATGGGTGAAATCACATGGTGCATGACATTCTGGGAGGCAGGCGCTTATGAGCATCCCTATCTTACAGAAGAGAACATTGAGGCCCAGGGAAGGAGTGGTAATTGCCCAGGTCACATGGTGCGAGGGTGTCTGGCCTGTAGTCCAGTGCCCAAGGGATCTTAGAAAGAAAATAACCAAAAGCAGCCATAATCGGGGCACCTGGGTAGCTCAGTTGGTTAAGTATCTGCCTTCGGGTCAAGTCATGATCTCAGGGTCCTGGGATTGAGTCCTGTGTTGGGGTCTCTGCTTAGCAGGTAGCCTGCCTCTCCCTCCCTCTGCCTATGTATCTGCCTCTCTCTCTGTGTCTCTTGTGAATATATAAATAAAAATTTAAAAAATACATATATTTAAAAAACAGAAACAGTCACGATCTGCGAGCACCACCATTACCAGGGTGCTTGTTAAGATGTTTTCCTGTGTGGTTTCATTCCATTAAAGTCCTGCTGAAGTATGGATTGTAGGCCCATTTGCCAGAGAAGGGAACTGAGGTTAGAAAGAGGAGCCAGCAGGCGAAGTGGAGGCAGGATCTGAACACCTGTCATTGTAGGAGGGCCAGAGAGCTTCTGTCTTCTGTTGGGCCAGAGTGCTGGGAGGGGAGGAAGGAGGGAGGCCAGCAGGGGCGGGCAAGGTCTTTGCTTGTCACTGTTACCTGGGTCCCTCTCTCTGAAGTCCCTGCCAAGGGGCGTGGGGAGGCCGCCAGGGGAGGGCCCTGCTCTGAGCCATCTGCCCCCCTCCCCCAGCCAGGAGAGCTGAACGCGGAGGAAAGGAGGAAGGAAGGAGAGCCCCCAGAGATGCTGCCTCCTGGACTCAGGCCCCAGGCCCTGCCCTCCCTCTGCCTCTGCATTCTGGTCCTGGCCTGTGTTGTGGGTGAGGGGGAGTGGACGGGCGGGTGTGGGGCCCCTGCGGTGCTGTGGGCCGTGAGTGTGACCGTCTGTGTGGTGCGTGAGTTTGCACACATGCGGGTGTGGAGTTTGTGTATATTGTCGTACACCAATGTGTGCATGTTCCTGCGAGAACGTGTCAGCGGTGGCCCCGTGGGAGGCGGGTAATGTGGGAGTTGGCAAGAATGACAGTGGTCGTGTAGGTGTGTTCGTGTGTGGATTCATACAAGAATATGACATCGTGGCAAACGTGTGTCTGTGAACATACACGTATATGTGTGTGTGCACTCGTGTCTTTATGGGAGTTTCATGCAGAAAGATTTGGGGGCACTGCAGAAGATTTGAGTGTGTGGACACTGAGGGGGGCTGTATGTGCTGGGTTGTGAGCCTGTGTGAATTCTGCACGGGCATTTCAAGTTTTAACACTTACACGGTGCAGGGTGCCATCGCTAGTGCCTCAGGCGTGTTAACTCTGGGTTCTCACAGTATTCCTGGTGCAAGGCCTATTACCAACCCATTCTACAGAAGGGAAAACTGAGTATAGAAGAGGTTTGGTCACTGGGTAAGGCACACTGCAGGGCACACATGTGCTTCTGTACATGCATGAACACATATGTGCCTGTATGAAGCCAGGGATCTGTGGGTGAGGCTCTGCCCAGGTGCGTGAGTGTGAGTGCTGGACAGGCATGTGGGAACGAGGAGATGAAGTGCGATTGGAAGTGGTACCCCCAGCCCCTGGGAGGAATGACCAGCACAGCCCTGCCAACCTCCATCCCGAGGGGTAGAAAGTCTTCCTGCACCCTCCCCACCTGTGGAGGTGGGTCTGGGGGGAGTCACAGGGGAAGGTGGGGAGGCAGTGAGATCAGGTAGAGAAGGAGGCATCAGGAGGGGGGTGGGGGCAAGGAGGTGGGGTCACAAACTGAGGGGGGAAACTGAGGAGTGACAGGAGGGGCCGTGGGCATGGAAGGTTACAAGAAATTGACTGATGATGGAAAGGGGGGGACAAGTGGTCAAAGGGACATACGAGGTGAAGGCCAGCAGGGATGGTGTCAGGCAGTTGCCCTCGGCCCCTGGGAGCGACGGCAATGGTGAGCATGGAGGGAAAGGGAGGAGGAAGGATTCTCAGGTCCCAGCCCACCCATGTTGCCCTCTGGTCCCACCTAGCACGCCAGCAAGCAGCGCCCACAGAATCTCCGAGCCCCCCGCCGAGGCTGGTGAGTAGTCCTTGGAGCCTGGTGCCCAACAAGGTGAAGGCGGTGGTGACCAGGACCAGAGAGAAGTGGCAATGGTTCTGGTGAGTGTGTGCAGCAGTGCTGGGGGGTGGACCCCTGCGTCTGAGGAGGAGGAGCCTGGGGGCCTGGACCCTTGGGTCTGAGGGAGGAGGAAGCTGGAGGCCTGGATCCCTGGGTCTGAGGGAAGAGGGGGCTGGGGACCTGGACCCCTGGGTCTGAGGGAGGAGGGGGCTGGGGGCCTGGACCCCTGGGTCTGAGGGAGGAGGGGGCTGGGGACCTGGACCCCTGGGTCTGAGAGAGGAGGACCCTGGGGACTTGGACTGGGTCTGAGGGAGGAGGGGGCTGAGGGCCTGGACCCCTGGGTCAGAGGGAGGGGGGCAGGGCTTGAACTCTTGGGTTCTGAGTGGGATAAGGCTGGGTCTGAGAAGAGCAGAGGGTAAGAGTTGAGAACAGTCACTCCCAAGTCTGAGGGTGGAGGGACTGATGAAAGGGACAGAAGCCTTATAGATAGCTGGGGTCTCAACTCTTCTGTCCCCTCTTCTACAGGGGACCGGAGGCCTTCCAGGGCTTTGTGCAGACCTACTACGATGACCACTTGAAGGACCTGACTCTCCGTACCCGGGCCTGGCTCCGCAGCTCCAAAGACAGCCTTGTGAACCAGGCCCACAGCCTGTGCCCCCGGCTCTTCTGTGGGGACAGTGATTAGGATTAAAGTTTCTGCAGCCACCACAATAAAGAAATGCTTCCCTGTGTCCCTGTCCCAATCCCTTCCAATGTGGCCACCCCTAGCAGTTAATGAATTGAAGAAGCGACACCTGGCAAGGGAGGGATGATGGGGGACCTTGAGAGGAAGGAGTCAGGGGGATGACCCCCTGCCCCCTGGGACCCACCACTACAGGCTGGTGGCGGGAAGGAGACATCAGGCAACTGAGTTTGGGATGGGAGGGTGAAGGCGGGGGAGCAGGTGGGGTCAGCAGGTTCTCCCAATGACCCCTCACTCAGACCTTTGCTACCCACGTGAGGGAAACCCCAGACCCCTTCCTGCTGGGTGCCCAGGACCCCCCACAGTCCCTGCCCAGCCTGGCCCTCTCAGGGCCAGTCCCTGCCCTTCACAGTCCCTGCCCAGCTTGGCCCTCTCAGGAGCAAATTTTCAGAGTAGGGGCTCTATGTGGCTTGACCTTGGGGACAGTCCCTGCCCTCTCTGCCCCGCACCACCCCCTCAGCGGTCCTGTTGGCTAGGACTTTGGACTAGGGGACAAGGTGGGGGTGGTAGCTGTGGATGGGGAGGTGGATCTCAAGAGTTATAAAGCCTTTCTCTGCCCATGTGGAGCTGGTGAGGACAGCCTGCCAGAGTCAGGTAAGAGAGGGTCCCCAGTGGAAACGGGGAAGGGGCAGCGGGGAGGGGGCAAAGATGATGAAGTCTGAAACTGCAAGAGTCCCTTTAGGTTCCTCCACTGGAATGGGAGGAATTTAGAATCCTAGACTGTTTCCCCGTGCCGACGTCCCTTGGGGTGGGATCTCAGCCTCATCTCCAAATTACAGGTGACAGTAGGGCCTGAGGACCTCTGTCACAGGGTTGGGGTGAAGACAGAATGAATGCAGAACAGAACTCGGGGCATCCGAAATGCACTCATCCCATGCTCTTCCCTCTGCGGGTTGTCCCTGAGTCTGTGGGGATGCATCCCTGTACCGACTGGGTCCTATTAGAAGTGTCACCCTCTGCCAAGGCTTTCCCAGGCTATGAGACACGCCCTCCCCCCCGCCAGAGTACTTATTCCCCAGTGACACGCTGCAGATTTTCCTCATGTAATATAGTTGATTGTATTTCTCTCTCACGTGGGCTCTGTAAGGGTAGGGCTGCTGCCTGCGTTCACAGCTGCGCCCAGAACTGGGATCGGTACACAGTTCTATGCAAGAAATGCTTCTTGAGAGAATGAATGGGTATTAGAACTAAGGTCTTTTTTTTTTTTAATTTATTCATAAGAGACACAGAGAGAGAGGCAGAGACATAGGCAGAGGGAGAAGCAGACTCCCTTAGGGAAGCCCAATGCGGAACTCGATCCCAGGACCCCGGGATCACGACCTGAGCCAAAGGCAGATGCTCAATCACTGAGCCAGCCAGGTGCCCCTAGAACTAAGCTTTTAAAATCCGGAGTAGAATCATAAAATGTTAGACAATGAGGCCCAAGCCAGTGCATCAGTAACTGGATCAGCAGGGAAGTGGGGGGAGAGGGAAGCCCAGCACCCTCCTCTTGAGTTTGGGGGGTGGTAGACAGGACAGGACAGGGTGGGGGCCGGGGGGAGCAGAGCAGGATAGATGTCACCAGTGGCCCTGCCCTACAGCTTTCTCAGTGGTCCAGGTCTTCCGAAGCCATGGGTACCCGATACCTCCTGGTTCTGTTGCTTGTCCTCCTGGTATTGGGATTTGGTGAGTGTGGTCGGCCGGGGAGGAGGGTCTGTGAGGGGGATGAGATGAGCCCCCAGCATCTTCCCAGCCCAGTTCTTACCTGGCCCTACCCCTGTCCCCCTCCGTTCTTGCTTCATTGTCCCCTGCCACATGCTCCTCAGCTCTCCTAACGCATTCTACCCCTGCAGAGGTCCAGGGGGCCCACGAGCCCCAGCAAGATGAAACCACCAGCTCCGCCCTGCTCACCCAGATGCAGGAATCACTCTACAGTTACTGGGGCACAGCCAGATCAGCTGCCGAGGACCTGTACAAGAAGGCATACCCAACTACCATGGATGAGAAAATCAGGTATCAGGGCACCTGGGTGGCTCAATGGTTGAGCATCTGCCTTTGGCTCAGGTCGTGATCCCGGGGTCCTGGGATTGAGTCCTGCACTGGGCTCCCCTCGGGGAGCCGGTTTCTCGCTCTGCCTATGTCTCTGCCTCTCTCTCTCTCTGTGTCTCTCATGAATAAACAAATAAAATCTTTAGAAAAAAAAAAGAAAAAGAAAATCAGGTATCAACCCACTGCCACTGGGAATCAGGAGTTCCGGCCCCCCGGTCCTGTCTGAACCCTGGATTCTGAGATCCCAGCCCTGTCCTCCCTTGGGATCCAAGAGTTTGGGTTCCATCTACCTTTTCCCCACAGGACACATGACTCTGGGCCCCCAGCCTGTTCCTCCCTCAGACTTGGGGTCCTCCCAGCCTCCCCCCCACTCAGAGCTTCTGTCCTTTTTCTCCAGGGACATATACAGCAAAAGCACAGCAGCTGTGAGCACTTACGCAGGGATTTTCACTGACCAGCTACTTTCTATGCTGAAGGGAGACTCGTAACAGCTGAGCCCCAATCGTGGGGGAGGGGAGAGTCCAGACCCCACAACCCCTTGGCTCCTCTGACCAACCCCCCACTTCTCAGCACCTGTCAGCATCTTGCTCCCAGTGCTAGTCTGTCTTCTTATAAATAAATACATTTAAAAAGCCATTTCTTTTCTTTCATGTGGTTGCCTTTCTAAGATCTCAGGGGATGGAGCTGTCCATCCAACAGTGCTCATTGGATGCGTGTAGCCCTAACTTGGTCAGTGGGAATAAAAGAGGCGAATAATAACAGTTGAGAATCATAACAACAAAATTAAAGATTGTCCTTCACCGAGGTTGGCCTTTCTCATATGTAAAATGACAAACCAGGAACACAGCTAGCTTCCAGTGGCCTCTGGCAGTATCCAGGCCCTGGATAGATACTTTGAACATGCATCACAGTGAGGTGTCCCATAGTCCTGTGATAGAGGGGACGTTGGTGCCCAGAGTCACTATGGAGCATAAAAAAAATCAGTGTCCAGGTTCTCTGGGACCCAAGGGGATGGATCTGCAAAAGCTGTGCCCTGTGATAATGCCTATACACTTGTCCAACATGTATTTATTGAGACCCTACTAGGCCCAGGGGACACTGCAAGGGAAAGACAGAGAATTTTGTTTCTGTGCCCCCTCAAAAAGCTATTGATCGGGCCCTGGCCCAATTCCACAAGTTTTAGTGACTATGGCTTTGTGCTCTGTTTTGTTAGCTGTTCTCTCCTTATTAGCAATAGTAGTAACATCTTCTGAGCTCCCATTCAGGAATCGGGAGCTCTATTCTGTCCTGAGGTCACAAACAGAGGGGCTGGGGGAAGGGGGGGGGGTGAGGCTGAGGATGAGCAAGCCGACCAAGGGAGGAGATGACTTCAGGCAGCAATTTGTGCAATAACGAAAAGAAGAAGTGTAGAGCTGAAGGCCTGGGTACAGTCCCCTAGGCTGGGGGAGGGTCCCCTAGAAAACCTGGCTGGGCTGTCCACAGAGGATGCATCACAGAGCAGTGTGGTTGAGGCTTTTGTTGCTGGAAAGTGGGGGCCCACTCTCTTGGTCCCCAGGTCTACGATGGGCGATTAGTGGTTGGGAAATGGTATCTGGGCAGTGGGGAATTGCAGGCAAAAAGCACAGGATGAGGGGATCCCTGGGTGGCTCAGCGGTTTGGTGCCTGCCCTTGGCCCAGGGCGTGATCCTGGAGTCCCGGGATCGAGTACCACATCAGGCTCCAGGCATGGAGCCTGCTTCCCCTCCTGTGTCTCTGCCTCTCTCTCTCTCTCTCAGTCTATCATAAATAAATAAATAAATAAATAAATAAATAAATAAATAAATAAATAAATAAATAAATCTTAAAAAAAAAAAGCACAGGATGAGCAAGTAAGAACAGAGGTGATACAGTCAGAGAGGACAGTGCTGGGGTCCCTGGGTAGATGGCTGGGGACCTGGACTTCTGGGTCCTGAGGGAGCAGAGGGTGGTCTGGACCCCCAAGTCCTAGGGGTGGGGCTGTTGGCCCCTGAGGATGCAGGGCCTGTGTTTCTTCTAATCTGCTTGGCATTAACTTCCAGCCAGCCTCTCAGCGTTCTTGGGGCAGCTTTCCCAGGTCTTGAGGATGGGGAGCTCTGAGTCTAATAGAAAACAGGGACCTTGGGGGAGGTTGTGGGAAATGCCCCCAAGTCTCCGGAGCCTGGGAAGAGCTGAGGCTGCCAAACCCAGGGGGTGATGAGGAGGGGGGACCCCAGAGGAACAATCCCTGCTCTGTCCACTTGTTTCCCACGGACTCAAGCCAAACCAAACCACTGCCCAGGCCAGTTCTGTTTCCAACCAATCCTGGTGCCCTTCCCAGATTCCTCCTCCCTTTCTCAGGCCTCCACCCCAGTCCCACTGCCTCTAAGACCCCAGCATTCAGGCCCCTAGACTCCTCTTCCCCCAGAACTCAGGAGTCTGGGACCCCAGACTTCTTCTCCCTCAGACTCAGGAGTCTAGACCTCAAGCCTTTTACCTCGGGACCCAAAAGTTTAGGGCTCCAGTCCTTTTCTCCCTGAGAGGCTGCAATCACAGCCTCTGGTTGGTGTTGGGCGTCCCCTAGTGGAGGGCAGAGAGGCTCTGGGCTGTGATTCAACTAGCAGCACAAATGGAAGAATTTATTTGGTCACTCAACAGATATGGGGGAGTGTTTTGCAGGAGTCCTAAGGTCATAGTCTAGCAGAGACTTTCGTGCTCCAACAGATCAGAACTCTGCAGTTTATGGGAGAGGAGGGCACACCGGGGCATTTTACATCTAGTGTTGAAAGCAGAGATGGGGTTACAGTGAAGCTGGAGATTACGTTTTAAAGCCCCTCACCTGGGGCAGCCCCTGTGCCTCAGTGGTCTGGCGCCGCCTTCAGCCCAGGGCCTGATCCTAGGGACCCAGGATTGAGTCCCATGTCATGCTCCCTGCAAGGAGCCGCCTCTGTCTCTCTCATGAATAAATACATAAAATCTTAAAAATAAATAAAGCCCCTCACCTGCCTGAGCTTTCTGCAGTCTTCTGTTTAAGCTTGAGTATGTAATTTCATACTTTTTAAAAAGAGGCCTGCAAATTTCAATATGCCTCTTGTCTGGTGGACTTCAGTCATTATGTTCATTTTATCCCTAGACTTAAAAACTGGGCCTAGGGGATCCCTGGGTGGCGCAGCGGTTTGGCGCCTGCCTTTGGCCCAGGGCGCGATCCTGGAGACCCGGGATCGAATCCCACATCAGGCTCCTGGTGCATGGAGCCTGCTTCTCCCTCTGCCTGTGTCTCTGCCTCTCTCTCTCTCACTGTGTGCCTATCATAAAATAAATAAAATAAAAAAAATAAAAATTAAAAAAAAAAAAACTGGGCCTACAATTTCAAAAAAAATTTTTTTTTTAAAGATCTTATTTATTCATGAGAGATGAGAAAGAGGCAGAGACACAGAGAGGGAAGCAGGCTCCATACATGGAGCCCAATGTTGGACTTGATCCTGGGTCTCCAGGATCACGCCCTGGGCTGAAGGCAGGCACCAAACCGCTGAGCCACCCGGGCTGCCCTCAAAATTTTGAGAGAGAGAGAGAGCGCGCAAAAGTGGGGGGGGGGCGAGGGAGAAGCAGGCTCCCCAACCAGGGGCTCAATCCCAAATCCCTGGGATCATGACCTGAGCTGAAGGCAGAGGCAGATGTTTAACCCACTGAGCCACTCGGGCACTCCCTGGACATACAATTTCAGACTTGTTTTTCCTATTCTTATTTGTGAGTGAAGTGGACTGGGCAACACTTTCTCTAAGGTTCCTTCTTGACCTGCGCTGGTCCTCAGAGGTGTCATCAACCTTCCGCATTCAGAGTTTCACGTTTCACTTAGCAACCATCCCCTGGGGCAGTGCTGGAGGGCAGGGCAGTGAGCGTGACAGCCCCGGGCTTCCGCGCCCAGGGCAAAACATACCACACCCGCCCCTGACAATGCTGATATAAAGTGGGCCGGGGTGGAGTTGGGGAGCCCAGGGAACCGGGAAGCCCGGAGGCGGTGCTTGCACAGCCCGGGGGGGGGGGGGCCAGGAGGGTTTTCAGGAGGAGAGGATACTATTATTGAGCTGGGACCAAGAGGAGAGCGGAGGAAGTAGATAGTAAAAGGAGAAACAATGAATCCCAAGGCAAAGCCTGCTCTCCCTTTTAGGTAATCTGCAAGGTCCGTAACAACAGTGCAAAGATACAGATCACTTCCGAGGAGTGAGGTGGGGGTGGGCGGGTAGGTGCTTCACATTCGTGATCCATCTCACTCAGTCCTTCCAAAAAATCCGGCAGGGAACAAGCCGGAGGGAAATGCTTCGTTTATAAAAGAGGAACAAACAGGCCCCAAGAGATAGGTCCCTTGTCCGGGATCATTTAAGAGGTCAGTAGCACAACCAGGTTGAAACCCCGGTCACACCTCCACTCAACTCACAGAGGAGGCTTCACGGCCGCTGACGGCTTCTTTTCTGATCCTCCATCCCACCCTCCCCAGGCCAGGGGGTCTCTCCACACGCGTCCGGGCTCGGGACTGCACAAAGAGAGCTAAGAGAAAGTATGAGCGCTCAGAGCCCCCGAAGCCGAGTCCAGACGTGCGACATTTGCGAGGAAGCAAAGACCACTCCGGAACGCGCGTGCGGGCTACGCGACGTGGTCTGAAGGCTTGAGGAGGGGCTGGCGGGGTCCAGTTCGAAGGAGTGGCGGCTGCGAGAACCGAACGCTCAGAAAAATTCCAAGGGGACTTGGAGGAAAGGGTTGCTCTAGAAGAGGCGTCTGAAGGCGAGGGCCTCGGCCGGAAGCCCGCCCCCCGAGTCTCGGTACCGCGGCCGGGGAGGTTCCTGTTACGCAGCAGGGGCGCGCTTCGAGCTGAACGTCCGGCGTTACGGTGGCCGTGGAAGCTCAAGAAACACGAAAACGGAAAGGACTCGAAGAATCGGCGAAGCCGCCAGGATGGCCTACGAGGCTCACATAAATGGCAGAGACGGATTTGCTCGAGAAAGCCAAAGGATTGGAGCCTGTGGGAAACTCATACGCTTACGACAAACTCTGGGAGCTCAAAACACGGAGAAGGTCTCTTAGGTGAACACAAGCGCGCAGCAGAGACGAGGCGGAGTATGGTGGCCCGACTGGTTCTTTCATAGCCGGAAACGACTCTTCCCGAGAGGCGTGGCTTAAGCTCTCTGGCCGGATACAGTAGCTGGCGAGTCGGGCGAAATGTCAAATCTCGCGCGAACGCCCTGGCGCCGTCGGGGACGGGGCGGGGCTGGCGGCGGGGGCGGGGACCCGGAGCGGGAAGATGGCGGCGGCGCAGGAGGCGGACGGGGCCGGCAGCGCCGTGGTTGCGGCCGGGGGAGGCGGCTCCGGTCAGGTACGGAGGCCGAGAGGGGCCTGAGGGGTTCTTCCCCACCCGGGGGGCCTCCCACGGGGCGTGTCCTGCCCCTTTTCGCGGAAACCCGTGCACTGGGGGCTCCTTACCCAGAGGGACCTTGAGTACCGGGCCCAGGCGGGGCCGGGCAGTCCTGGAGGCCGGACAGTGCGGGGAGCGGGGGCCCTGTTGCACGCCGGGTCCCCTGCACGCTCGCGCTGGGCGGTCACCAGGCTCTGCTCGAGCCGGGAGACAGTGGCGCGGAGGGGCGCAGACTTAACACCCAAGCGCCCTGCTTCTCGGCTCTGCGATTCCAGGCTCCAAGACCGTTCCTAAAGTGGACTGGCGTTTAGGGTCTCCCTTGCAGTGCCCGGGATGCGGGCAACAGTGGATTCACTGGGAGTTTTTTTAGCTCTGGGGAAGTCAGGTAATCATCGTGGGTGAGGGTCCGGGCTGTGGAGGCCGACAGACCCACTTTACAGACGGGAATCCCAGGAAGAATGAGCCTGAAGCGCTTGCAGAAGGTCACCCAGGTTCGGTTTGGGATCTTCTCCATGTAGAAGTTCCCAGACATTGCCGAGCCAGGGTAGTCAGAACTGCGGTGGGTGTGCTTTCAGCACAAACTAATCCATCGGGGAATTTGGTCCAGGTGCCAGCGACTTCTGATGCACTGCTGCCTCAACTAAACCAAAGCTGCAGAACATAATAGTTGAGGCATCCATCCTTCAGGCTTTTAGGGAATGGATGGAGTGACAGCAAGGTGCTGTCGACCCACCCACTGGGATGTCACTGACATGTGGGAGGCAGCACAGGGGAGAAGAGTGCAGGTTAAGAGGGAAGGATGAAGCTGACTTTCTGTGTGACCTTGGGCAAGTTCCTTGTCTTGTTTGGGCTTTCATTTCTCCAGTGGTAAGTGGAGGGGTTCCACAGGATGGCCAGCCACGTGATGGGTCACAAAGATGGTTCCAGCCATGTCCCTGCCATCAGTGGAGTGGAAGAGAAGATTGACACGTAGAGAATTATAATCTTCAGTGACTAGGGTGGTGACATAAGTCTGTGTCAGCGACTGAAGGTGCCCAGAGGAGGCGCAAATAATATCACCTGGGGAGGACACCAGGATTTGATCTGTGTGATAGAGCCCAGCATGCCTGGTTCAGCATCTGTAACCAGGGCCTGGCCTGGGGGCGGCATCAGGAGATACTTGTTGAATTAGCTCTAGAGTGAAGACTCAGTCCTTGCCATCAGGCGTTTCCCAGTCTTGCCGAAGGAAGGTCTTTTCTTTCCTGAGTTTCTTTCGATTACTGGGTGGGGGGAATGGATCAGAGAGACTAGGGTTCAGGTTGCCCCGATTGCCAGGCTTCCAGGACCCCCGATTTTCTCTAGTCCCATCTCTGCTTAAAATCTTGCAAGATTGGGATCCCTGGGTGGCGCAGCGGTTTGGCGCCTGCCTTTGGCCCAGGGCGTGATCCTGGAGACCCGGGATTGAGTCCCACATCGGGCTCCCGGTGCATGGAGCCTGCTTCTCCCTCTGCCTGTGTCTCTGCCTCTCTCTCTCTCTGTGTGACTATCATAAATAAATAAAAATTTAAAAAAAATCTTTCAAGATTTACTCCTTTGCCTTCAGGGTAAAGTACAAATTCTTTAGTAGATCAAGACCTTGAGTGATCTGAATTTTCTTGCGACTAGACAAAGATTTCTCAGCCTCAGCATTATTAACATTTTGGATTGGTTAAGTCTTGGTCGTGGAGGGCTGTTCCATGCATTGTAGGATGTTTAGCAGCACCCCTGGCCTCTACACACTAGATGTCAGTAGCACACATACTCCTTTACAGTTGTGGCAATGAAAAGTGTCCCAAACGTTGCTAAGTGTCCCCTGGGGTGGGGGGAGAGCAAAATCACCCTTGCTTGAGAACCGCTGGATGAGAGGAGTGTCCAGCACTGTGAAGCTCCTTTATTTCCAGCAGTGTGCCTTGCTTTTTCCTCACTGCCTTTGCACACGCTCCTCCCTTCTATACCTGGTTGATCCTTACTAGCTCTGTACGTCTCAGATGTTCCCTCCCCTAGGAAGCCCTCTCTGACCCTCTCAGACTAGGTCAGGGTTCCCACGGCCTCCTGGGCTCTCTTGTCCCAGCCATGGCCACTCTGGGTTCTACTGTCTGCCTGTCTCTTCCCCTGCACAGGGAGCCCTTGGAGGGCAGAACCAGGACTGTCTTGATCAACACTGTCCCCTACACTGCCCAGCTTGGGACCAGGCACAGAGCAGGTGCCCAGTGTTTGTGGAATGAACAGATTTTGAGGCAGAGGCTGGTCTGGGATGGAATTCCCACAGTGGATCAAGGCAGTCAGTGAAGATACCCTGGAAAGCCAATCTTCACACTCCCAGCCCAGCCTCATAGTCTCAGCTGTTTCTGGACCCCTCAGCCAGTGGTTCTGTAGATTGTGTGTGAGATTGGACATGTGGGTTCCAGAGGAAGAACTGTGTCTTAGTCACTACTATATCCATAGCCACCATACCCACCATCCCCCCGCCACCGACCCAGGCCTGTGGGGGCCTAGCACAGAGTGGGTGGACCCTCAGCAGTCTCATGCTCCTACCATCCTGCTTCTCCAGCCAGGAGCTCAGACACAGGGCCTACAACCCTGCCCTTCATTCCTTCAGCTGATGTATACTGAGTCCCCACTCCATGCGAGGCCCCAGGCTAATGCTGGGGGCTACTGCTATGAACAGAACAGAGTCCCTGCACTCTTGGAGCTCATGTTCTATTTAAGTGCTGGTAGGTGAGGATAGAAGAATGGACAGGACAACCGTTAATAAGATAAATATATGTAGCAGGTCAGATAGTGATAAGTGCTATGGACAGTAAAGTCTGGGAAGGGGATCGGAAGTGAGAGGTGGGTAAGAGGGTTAAAGTTTAAACAAGGGTAGTCTGGGAAGGCCTCTCTGAGGAGGTGACTTTTATTTGTTTTTTAAAGATTTTGTTTACTTATCTGACAGAGAAAGCACAAGTAGGGGGAGCAGCAGGCAGAGGGAGAGGGGAAAGCAGGCTCCGTGTGGAGCAGGGAGCCTGATGCGGGACTCAGTCCCAAGACCCTGGGATGATGACCTGAGATGAAGGCAGACACTTAACCAGCTGAGCCACCAAGACACTCCGACTTTTTTTTTTTTTTAAAGATTGATTGATTGATTGATTGATTAGAGGGAGCTAGAGTGGGGTGAGGCAGAGAGAGGAAGAGAAAAACTAGCACACCCTGTACTCAGCACAGAGCCTGATGTGGGGCTCAATCCCACAACCTTGAGATTATAATCTGAGCCAAAACCAAGAGTCAGTCACTTAACCGATGCACCACCCAGGGGCCCCTGAGGAGGTGACATTTGAATGAAGACTTGAAGGAGATGAGGGAGGGAGGCATGCAGGTTTAAGGTGGTGGGGCAGGGAAGCCTCTCAGATAAAGGGAATGGCAAGTGCAAAGGCCCTGAGGCAACAGGTGCCCAACAATATGAAGGAACAGTGGGGGGGCCTTGTGGCTGAACCAAGTGAATGAGGGGAGAGGGGTGAGGGTAGAGAGGCAGGGGTCGGGGGATCATATCAGGCCCAGACTTTGAAGCCAACATGAAGATTTTGCCTTTATTCCAAACTTTCTTTTGAAGTATGATAGATAATACAACATTCACTGTCGTCAGTATGGACTTCAGGGACTTTTCGTGCATTTGCAAAGTACAGCTATCACCACCATCTGGTCACCATTCCCTTAGAACATTCCAGTTCCCTTTTGCAGCCCCTTTGCCCCCAGCAGGGCTCCTTATTACTGGGTGGCATTCCACTGTGTAGATACACCACATTCATTCATCCAGGGGCATTTGGGTTGTTTCTGGCTATTACAAATAATGCCTCTGTGAACATTTGCTCATAAGCTTTCGTATGTCCATATGTTCTTTTTCTTGGGTAGAGAACTAGGAGTGGGGCTGCTGGTTTGTATGGCAGATGCACATTTTTCACTTTTTATTTTTATTTATTTTATTTAAAAATTTATTTTAAAGATTTTTTTAATTTATTTGAGAGAGAAACAGAGTACAAGTGAGGGGAGGGGCAGAGAGAGAGAGAGAGAGAGAGAGAGACAAGCAGACTCCCTACTGAGCAGGGAGCCTGACGTGGGGCTCCATCCTAGAAACCCTGAGATCATGACCTCAGCCAAAAGCAGGCACTCAACAACTGAATCACTCCAGGAGCCCCAAACATTTCACTTTTTAATTCCCTGCTGTGTTTTTCAAAGCCGTGGCTCCATTTCCCCATCATTTGTATACAACCGGTCAAGCTTTTGCACACCCTCACCAACACTTGTGTTTATCCATCATTTTGATTGTGGCCAGCTTAGTGAAGTGGCTTCTCACTGCAGTTTCCATTAACGTTTCTGTGGGAGGGTTTCCATCCAGATTGTCCACCAGTGCAGGTTGGAGAATGGACCCGGGGGTCAACCAGACATGGGTGCAAATCTTGGCCTGGCCTCAGCTTCTGTTTTTTGACTCAGAATCAGCTCAGAGCTGCTGGAAACCCTCACTTGGCCCCCAGTGCTCCCAGGAGCAAAGCCAGCCCTGAATAAGGGGGCCCTGTGCCTGTCTCCGACCTTGCCTGCCAACCCTTTCCCTGAACCTGTCCTGCCCCCGGCGTGCCCTTTACCCAAATGTCAAAAATAGCTTCTCAGGCAGGCCTCTGACTGCCTAATCCAGAGTGGCTCCCTGTCCCCAACCCAGTAGCCATCATTGGCCCCTGCT